CTAAGATAATATTTCTCGCAATAAATTCTTTACACACACACACACCAGGTTTCCAAAGATGTTTACTTTTTACATATTACTAAATTGATTATCAAAAAATGCTACATACCTAATAATAATAAAATAATATCACATTAAGTATACCTGCTATTTCGATGTAAGCTAAATACTGTGTTCCAAGACCGAAAGTTATTGGCGCGCAATTTGCTTCGTTGGAAAAAGACATGCAAAAATATAATACTAAGATGGTGTTATTCGAGTAAAATTTATGTATGCATCCTCTTAACAAGCGTCGTCGATTCCCAATTCGATTCACCTTGGCAGGCAAACTGTTGCAACGTTTTAGAACGAGGTACCAGAAAATTACACGAGTGACACTTTCACCGAAATCGGCGACTCCGCGGAACGGAATTTTCGAGACCTCCTACATTTCGCAAGCCGGGTGTAAAGTCGGCTATGTGGGCAGTCGAATGTCCGCGTGCGCATCCCACGCTATCCCCCACATGTCGCGCAAAATCGAGTGCCGGTATTTTCATTTCGAAGAAAAAGCTCGAAATGTCGCAAAGACGTCGTTGACGATCGTGATAAATTCCTAAGAAGCATATTTACCGCAGAAAACACACGAATCTCACAAATAAAATATCGCAAAAAATAAAGCCTCTTCTTTTAGAGTTCAAAGTTGTCTCAATCTGCTGCACTTCATTTACTTTAACACGTCAAAAAATTACGTTCTTTTACAAAGAAAGAGACTAAATAGTTTATTATCCTAGGACACGTCTGTACAATAATAACTTCACTGTCATATCAAAAAGAACCGAGTGCGATGAAAAAGAAATGACCGAAGTAAGAAATAAAAGTAATGATTTGTAAGGCAACTTGGAAACACAAGTTCTTTTAGGAAGAAAGAGAATAAATAGTTCATTATCCTAGGACACATAAGTACAATAATAATTTCACTGTCATATAAATAAGAACTGAGTGCGATAAAAAAAAGACCGTAATAAGAAATAAAAGCTTTCAACTTTTTGTGTACCGTGATAAAATAATTTCCTCAATGATCATAGGAATAATAGAATTTTTGGAACATAATAGAATTTTTGTAATTTCTTGACGCGTTAATGTAAATTGAAGTACAGATTGAGGTAAATTTTAACAGTGACGCCGTAGCTGATAATTAAATTAACCCGTCCTGCCTAATGGAGCAGGATATTTATTCTAGCCGCGGCGGTTTCGCGTAAAGGAACGATATGGGCGTATCCTGGCATTGCCGCGGCGCCGAGGCCGCGATTTGCGGATCCGTAACAGACGGCGGAGCGTCGAGGTCACTCGCTAGGGCGCCCGAGAAGAATAGGAAGACTCAGGAAAGATGGAGAGCGAGAGAATAGGAGAGACACCATTAGGGATCTCTCCTGAGATTCTCTCGCGCGCAGGTTTCTGAGGGCAACGGTTTTTCAGGATTTGCCGGGCTGGAACAGGAATAGCGAGAATGACGTAAGCGCCCAATGTACCACGCGGCGCACGCATACGTACGCGCGCACGTACGCACGCACGCACGCACACACGCGGGTTGGTCCCGCGCTCATTCCCTCCCGTGTTTGATCCCACGTCGTCGCGACGGCGAACATCGGCTCAGTCACCATTGCAAATAACTGAAGAAATCGATGCGACCGGCTCGCGATGTTTCCTACCCGTCCCATGCGTTTCGATCGAAAACTGCCGGCGTAATTCATTACGTTGCGGGAATACGCGCGCATGCCGGACGAGCGTGAAGAATTTACTGTCGGAATTAAAGTAATTTAATCGTTCCGCCGTTCTCGTCTCCCTCCCTCATGCGTTAAAGTGAAGAGGTGCGATGTCTCGAAGATTCAAAGACGACGCGGCTCGGATGGAATGGAATTTCTTAACATTCCCTACGCGGTTCAAAGAAACGCATGAATAAACATCGTCAGGTGCCGCTCATCCGGACTGATCTGTATCAGAATACGCAAGAATTATATTGCGGATTGAAAATTAACGAAGTACGTTGGGAACGAGCTCGAGGGAATTCCAGGAGACTCTGGAAGCGATCGAGCAGCTCGCAGACGACAGGTCGCGCGAAGAGAACGTGCCTGGCATCCAAATTTGAAAGACGCTTGCCTCGCGCGCTGACCGGCGCGCGACGAAAATTGTCATGACACGTAAGCAGCGGTGAATCCGCTCCTTACTTTCGCGGGACTAAATATAGTCGACCAGAAGAAAAAAAGTGTTCTCGCACCTATCGGCCGTACGCGAAAAAGAAAACGATCGAGTGGAAAATGCACGGCACAAGTATCGTCAATTAGAGACTTTTGCCACGTTCATTCCCTTGGGAAAACGTTCCTTAGAAAACCTTAAAATTTTAGTGGAATTATATTCTTAATACTGAACTCTATTCCGCTAAAATGCGGTTTTCATTTTATTTGACATGACCTCCGTAACAAGGTAGGCCGACAATTGTTCTGTGATACTGTGCAATTCTTGTATACTTCTCACGTAATCTGTATGTAAAACATTTACTCTTAGATCTCACTTGATAAGGGCGTAAACCACAAGTCGAAACGCCGTGAAAGCGTATTTAATAAATGTGGTCGGCCAGCTGAGGTCGATTGAAACTTAAAATTTTATTTATATTAATACTGGCAATCTGATAAAAATATACTACTTAAAATGTTACTTTGGAGAAATAAGAAATAAGAAAAGTAAATTTGGACGCTTTAAACTTTTATTGAAGGTAAACTTAAAATTTACTTTCAGAACTTTATAAAAGAAAACTTTTTTAAGAATTGTGAAAAGTGCGTGATATAATTTATAATTTTAAGAGCATTCTTAATAGATAATTTATAATACCGCGTGCGGTTTTTGCTTCCTACGAGAAAGTGCTATGTCGCGCGGCCCTCCAGTGAGAACTTCGACAGGCATGACTGTCTAAACATTACTTTAGGTGTCCAAAATTACTCTAAAATTTCTTAAGTAAACTTCTAACTTCTTTAAGTAAACTCTCAGATTTGGAAGATTACCTTTGAAGCCTTTAATTTCGTTTAAAGTAACTTTTCCCAAGGGTTATTACCCACGATTAATCACGATTCTCGAAAGCACGAGTAATTATCCTCGAATTGGTTGATCGATGGTTAACTTCGCAGCAGGCCTCGCCTTTTAAATATCCCAGGACGTACCCTCGGTTATTAATAGACGTAAAAATGAAAATTCGTTATGTAGAGGTATGCAGCTCCAGAAACACGTTTCAGTTGCATCCCACTCGCGCGTCACACCGGAGGCTTGATTCAAGGTGATGCGCGACTGGTACACGGAGTGCGGCCGGATGCACCGGCAATAATGTATCCGCCATCAAATGACTCTGTCCTTCGATACTAGTTCGCTTTAGATTCGCCTAGCGAAAGTCATGGGGACGATCGCAGGTGCGATGGCATCGACAACCTAATAAAACGTGTCCTATTACAAGCAGCCTTCCGCTCTGCGGTTCCTCAAGATCAACGTACGGCCTCTACCGCGTTCGTAGGGGATCGGCGAGACGCAAAGGAATTTTTATACAGGCATGGCGCGACGGGAGACTATTGCGAGATGTAATCGTAAAAAAAAAAATTAGAAGAGATAACGTGTCGAGTGTGGGTTGCAGCGCGTACAAAAGTCAAAAATTCGGGGATCCAATACACCAGAAAGAAATAAAAATTTTATATAGGCATAGCGCAACGGGAGATTATTGCGAGATGTAATCGTAAAAAAATAATTAGAAGATAGAACTTGCCGAATGTGGCTTGCAGCGCGTACGAAAATCGAAAATCCGATACGCCAGAAAGAAATAAAGTCTCAAATAAATCATAAATGTCAGAAAAGTTTATATTATCGATGATTTGGAATTTCACCGATCTCCATGATACTTACATGGATAAGTGGCAGCCGCGATCTGACGCGTGCATGTAGAAAGTTTTGCGTGGGCCACTACGCGTGGGTGGACTGGCCTTCAAAGTCCTTCGCTGAAAAAGACCAGGATCGTCAAGCGCGTGGGCTTCCGGTGGGAGGACTAGATAAAAAGCATCTTCTGCCATTACACATAAGTAACTGTATCTATCGATTCGCAGAGGAGCTACATCTCACACGAATGCGTCTTCGCGTCCTGGAAACTACAATTACTCAATATATTATTCTGATTACAGAATATATTACAGCTGGTTTATATAAATAAAAAATATATGTAAAAACAACGTCTACTTGAATAAAAAAATTAAATCTCGCAGCTACTGCACAAGGTAATCGTAGCATGTTAACACTCCTGGGTACTGCAGCGGTGACGTCAGAAACGAGAAATGACACTCTGAGAATTCTTGCACTTTATAAATAAATAAAGATATCTAAATAAAAAAGTAGATTAGATCGTGTCAGCACGTCTTCAAAATACTTCGATCACTAGCCTTTTCCCTTGACGGTTGATAAACAACCGCAAAATGTGAATGTTAGATTCTAATGTCGTCCGGCATGCGCAACTGTTTTCTGAATAGAAATCTTATTACATTAATATTCCAAAGTGTTGTGAAGGCTCCCAAAAAGAAAATATGTAGAAAAGGAAAGAGTGCCAATGTGAGCCACAAATGAACGGAAAACGGTTCTCACAAATTAGAAACAAAATTTCTCTTTAATATAATAAACGTTTCGACTCTCCTTCGGGTCTTCCTCAGTAAAACTCGTTTAAATCGAATAAAGCGTATCTTAAGGGGTCAGAGCAGTATGTGACTTGAGAATCATTCCTCTATCAACGTTAATCTCAATCTATCTCTAAATAATCCCAGAAAAGAGGACTGAATAACTCAAGTCGACAGAGGAATGAATCCGTTACAATGGCGTTAACACGATTGACTTATTACATTAACATTTTACGGCTGTTCGTTAACTAGAGGAAAAAGTTTTCTATCAAAGGAAAAAGTTAGCTATCAGATTATTTTGAAGATGTGCTGAAAAGATTTAGACTGTTTTTTTTAATTCAGATATCTTATTATTTATTTATAAAGCACAAGAATTTTCAACGTGTCATTTCCCGCTTCTGACATCACGATTTCCAACAGGATCGTGGCGAAGTCAGGTGTATATGCATTATAACAAGAATATACCTTATTCTGCTAGTCTTAAACTCATTATTAAATGAGATACGAAATACGTAAAGAATGTATTTTATTTTGCATTTGAGTAATCCATTGTTATTTTATTTCATAGATTTATTCCTGTTTGCTTTTCTTTCCTCTTTTCGCTTCTCTTTCTCCTTATTATCGTGGACACGTCTCTTCTTTCGCAAGAGCCAGATTTGTTTAGCTCTTTCTTCTCGACCTTTCATCATACTCTTATACAATTTACGGTGTTTCTTCTTAATCATCTTCTCCCTGAGACGGTACTCTTGCTTCTCCAGTCGGGCTTTCTCCCATGAATTTTCCTTCATGATCTCACCAGCTTGTACCTTCATGTTCCTTTTCTGCAAGTTTATAAATATTATTAGCAAAGATCAATTTTCTCTAGATTATGTGAAGAGGTAATTTTAAAAAATTGTAATAACAAAACCTTTTGTAATTGAGCTTGATTCTGTATTTTCTCTTTCTTTTTATACTCATTAATCTGTACATCGTCATCGTTGTCCTCTTCTTCGTCTTCCATTTCCTGATCGCTTCCTGAACTCAAATCGTTCTCAGCTTCAATTTTCTCTTCCTCATTTTCATTCTTATCATTATCTTCATCTTCTTCATCTGAATCTGCTTCCACTAGACGAATAAATATGAGTCAATTATAAATTAGATATAGAATTCCACCTTTAATTCTGTACATTCATCCAAAATCAAAAGCTTACGATCGTTTAGTTTATAATCAGGGTCCATGAGAGCACGCTCTTCCGGAGGAATGTATGTTTGATCTTGTCGACCTTCTGTAAATGGCGAGAGATGAGGTGGAAGTACAGTACCCATTAAATATTTTTCTACGGGCAATAATTCTCTTGCGTTCACACTGTCGAAAACCCATTGTGGCTGTACATAATATCTATTAAAAAAAAGAAAAAATTCTATTAAGAAATCGGAAATGTTATATGCACGAGAACTAATCATAAATCAGATTTAAAACAAACCTCGATATATATTGTTTATTCATGCTTGGTCTATCTACAATCTGATGAGTTATTGTTTCATCATTCTCGTCAAAAGTGGCTCCAACAAAGAGTAATTTATCCCAAGATACTTCTCCGCCGAAGCAACGCAAGATAAATACTAGCGGCTCCCTGGGGATCTCCCTATTAATAAAAACTTTTATGCCTTTGAATAAATTTTTCAGTTTCCGTACTTTTTCAGCTTCTGTCTTAGCAGCTTCGACTTTGGCAGCGTCTGTCTCCTGAAAAGCGTAATCAATAATACATTTAGATTTTTTTACACAACTGACGAACTAAATATAAAATTAATTAGCACTTTAAACTTACATTTGAAAATTGATCTATTTCAATATTATCATCCTCGATCGCTGGTACTGAAGGATCTAAATTAACTAACGGAAGGTTTAATGCGCTTATTCTCTCAGAGACATATGCTTCTTCATCAACCAGTGTTTTTTCAATATTTCCTATATAGAATATTTAATTTTATAATTAGTTTTACGTATTTGAACTGTTAATATATCAATAATTTGCGCTAATAAATAATCTCACCAGGATTTGTCAATTTCGGAGGATAATGCAAATTCAGACTATGATACAGTCTGTAATTCACAAAACCAAGCATCACGATATAAAATTCTACAAATGTAGACATGACCTTAAAATCAACCTCGTTTTTCGCTTGAGGTTCAAAACAAAAATGGTGCGGCACTATCCACGTTATCATTTGCCCTTTTATCTCCGCTTGATAGTAATAGCCCTTGATGGATATGAACACTTTACGCAAAGCTTTCGCAGCAATAACGGCATGAAGGAATTCCATTGTTAATCTCCTACACAACAATGACTGATCTCTCGGTACATGAGTCAATGATGGAAATGTGCTGAATAAAAAGCAGAGAGTCAGGCAGTCATCTAGATCACGCAATGCATCTATGAACGTTGGATAACGCTCCTTGACTATATGATCGATCTTTAACGTAGGATGGTTACTCAAATATCTCTTTACTTTGGCAAAATCTCTCATTGCCTTTGCACGTCCAATTTTCCTGTTAAATATCTACAAACATACGCTTATGAAATTACATGTACAAAGCATAATACTGTAAACATGTGATTCAGAGAAGTTGTCGAGTACCTTGTACTCTCTCAATTTCCATATGATCGGTTCGTGCATCAAAAATTGAATATCCTTCTTGTGATATAAGGTTTTGATACCAGTTTCACCCTTCTGCGCTCTTTTACGGTTGCGTGGCTCCCGTGGATATATGCCTTTCAGTATGCATAATTTGCGAAAGTCATTTAGCGTCAATTGCAATTTTCTGAGGGCAGCTCTCCTCGTCATAAACTGCGCTCCCTCACCACTTTGATACTGTACATTTTAAAGATATCAATTTTAATCCCACGTGGATGTCGCTCCATTGAGTCGCCACACAAGTTTTAACATAACCTCATCTAATCGGTAATAAGATATTTCATATTAAATAAACAAAATCCGCTCACCTTCTTTTTACCTGTTACAACCATTGTAACGGCCTTTATATTTAATACCTAAATATTAAACAATTTAGCCCTGATACGTAAAATAGAAAAGAATAAACAGGAAACACGTGCAGAAAACTCCAGCCAGCCCGAGCCAGCCCTCGCGTCAAGACAGTGTCGCGGGTCGCCAGATGGCGAGAGTAGAGACACTAAGATAGGACACGCGGAATCATTCCTGATTGGTCCGCCATGCTATTGCCGCTAATTTTCAAATACATGAATTATATTAATGACGATTAAATTACATAAGACTCTGAAATGAAAAGTACAAGTACAGAAAAAGGGAGGCTCAATAAGAGCCAAACGCAAGTTGAAGTGCGCGAGTATTTAATTGCATGAAAATAAATATAACTGATTTTTTTTTTCAGTATAATTAAATATTTACGCACTTCAACTTGCGTTAGGCTGTAAGATATATCCTTACACCATGATATTAATGTTAAATTGTAATACCAATTTTTAAGGAAATAAACGCTTCAAAGTTAATAAATATTTTTTGTCATTATACTTTTTCCACCTATTTATAAAAAGCAAAGTTATAGTTATTGAAAGCAGAAATCTTTAATCAACTACTGGCGATTCACATTCTTTCGTTGCTGACATATAAATTATATGATATATAAATGCAAAATATAAAAATTTACTGACAAGCTACGTTATACTCCTTTTGCCAACAAAATTTGTAGTAGATTCTTCTCAATAAACTTGGTTATCTATACAATATTTCATACCGCACTGTTACTTATATACACTCTATTTAAAAGAATCAAAATGTTTTTATTATTATTATAAATATACTATTATTATTAATGATATTAAAAATCTAGAAGTGATATTACATTAATAAGTAATGATCACACTTCTGCTACTGTGCTCGAGACCTTACAGCTTCACCTCGCAGTCGTCCAGTTGTAAACGCGACAGATCGATGTAACACAATAATTTCAATAGTTCGGCGGTACGTACGTAGCATTACGTTTAGACTCCGTGCCGATTTTAAGAGTCGCACTAAATCCACTGGATCGATCCAGTGTAAAAATATAAATTTTATCAGTGGATTTTTCAATGTATTATATTACACTTTAAAAGAGTTTATTAATTTTTACATACTTTCAATTCATTTGCATCGTTAAATGGTTGCACAATGAAGTGTCCTGGGTGTGAGACCAATGTGACGTGAACATCAAAATATTGGCCAATATAAGTGTAGTAAATAATACATATATAATAACTGTGGCGATCGTGGCGCAGAGGATTATGCGCTGGTCTGCTAATCCAAAGACCTGGGTTCAAAACCCAACGAAACATTGTTGGTTTTTCGTTCGATCGCCACATATACTTGACGTCGTAATCAATGTTCTTCCTAATCAACGTGAAACTGTTTAAGTATTTAACAATGACAAGAAAAAAAAATTTTTTTTCTTAAATACTTGTCATCGTTAAATAATTCTTTTTAACGATGACAAGTATTTAAGAAATAAAAAATTTTTTTTTTCGTTGCCGAACACTTAAGAGTTTTACGTCGATTATTAAGAACATTATTATGGCGTCAAGTATATGTGGCGATCGAACGAAAAACCAACAGTTTAAAAAGAATTATTTAACGATGACAAGTATTTAAGAAAAAAAATTTTTTTTTCTTGTCATTGTTAAATACTTAAACAGTTTCACGTTGATTAGGAAGAATATTGATTACGACGTCAAGTATAAGTGGCGATCGAACGAAAAACCCAGTTTTGAACCCAGCTATACATATATCTGTAAAATAAAATAGGTTATCGATCATTTATATTAATAATAAAATACAAATATTGAAATCTATCTTCGTACAAGGCACATCGCAAAACACCATATAAGCTAACAAAAATACATCATAGTTTCCTGCTCTATATATATATCTAAATAATATAATTGTTATGGGCAACATGTAGTATTTTACATTTATATTGGTTTTAGGAAAATTGTAACGATAATTATGTTATATACCCGTAATTATTAATCGGTGTTTATATAGAATCATTAAAAAAGAATCCAGATGTGCATGCAGATGTATGTACCACACAAAGAGGAACGAAATTACTCAATCCTCGGTTGAACGACTGAATAAGTGAAGGTTCATCGACTATAGGCATTTCTACTTTAGAATCTGCAAACTCGATCGGATCTTCAATCTGTTACAAAGATAAAACGTACATTGCAAATACATTTTATACTTGTCTGCTATGTATATTTTAAATTTACTTCAAATTATTTTAAAATATTTATTTAAAAGTAGTAGTTGTTAACAAAATACTTTTAGAGAAAATATTCCAATGAGGGGAAGGCATTGATTGTTATTAATATAGCGGAAAAACAAGTATCTAGATAGGTCCAACAATTAAATCAATGCATTTCTCTGTGCCCAGACAATACGCATATTACAGACATCACCAAAACGGATGAATTATTTTTTAATTAGATTACATTAATCGTAAAGTGATATTATCTATTTCTATATATGCAGCTAACATCGTTTCTGATTTGTCGTCGTCATAATGCGTGGTTTTATCTAATATTATTTCCAAATTTAAGTTATCGATCAATGTACAGTCTGATTTGGTAACGTAACATTCAAATTGGCATCAACATTACTTCAATGCTACCAATATTTAGACAAAGAGTCATACCTCAGCTTTTGACCGCTTACCAGCAATATTTGGAAATAGTTCCTTGTGTGTCTCTTTACATCAGTCTGTATCTTCTATATTCAGTAAGTGATACTCCGCAATAGAGGACTGTAATAATGGCAGAGCACAAAGAATATCAGTGGCTGATGCAACATTATATTCGCACATATCAGTGTAGAGTGTGTGAAGAAACGTGTGTTCTAGAAACATATTTCTGGAACAATACGGATAATTGTCAACCGTCGACAAAAACATTGACCAAATTAAAAGAGCACTTAATTCTTAAACATCCGGAAACATACGTTCGCCTGAAAGACCTGTCACAAAATGAGCTGCTGCGATGTTACAATTCGAAATTAAACTGCCAAGTCTGTATTGCAGGATTCGAGAATAACACGTACAGTTTCCAACCGTCTAAAGAAATATTAATACAATTAAAAAGGCACTTATGCGATAACCATACCAAACAATATAATCCCAAACATGACACAGAATATAATGTAATTAAAGTGAAACAGGTTCCAGTACGTTCCTTTATACTAAAACATTATTCATATTTAAAAGGAAATCTGCTAAAATGCAATAATTGCTTTCAAATATTTTGTATCGCTGGAGTGAACGTTTCTTCTTATAAGATACTATATTTTCACCTAAAACATGACCATTACAACAAATTAACAGCAGTAGAAAGGGATGATTCAAAAGTAGCTTGGTATTGGGATTACTTCACACAGAACAAAGGACAAAATGAATCCAAGATTTGTGAAAAAAAATATAACACATCCACTAATCATAATCACCTGGGTTCTCATCTCATAAATGTCCACAAGTAAGAATAAATAAAAAAATCATTACAATATTGGGGAATATAAAATTGATATAGTAAAAAAATTCTCAGTAGTAAAACATTATGCAGCACATCTACTTAGCAGTCGTTTAGACACTTATATGTATAAAACTTAAATGTATTGTTGGTGGGGGAAAGAAATGTATTGTGGTCAAAATTGCATAGAAATTCCAATCGCAATTACTATTTCTGGATTATTGTAAATGTCATAGAAAAATATGTGTATATAACTGGTTTACCACAAATTCCGATAAATATAAAAATACACACGAGTCCGTATCATATATTTATATATATTTATTAAAATTGAATTAAATAATTATAAAAGTGAATACTTCGTACGTTGAAAAACATAGAAAGAAACATAAATGAATAACATGAATCTTGAAATTGGTTAGAAATGTTCTTTGAAAATAAACGTTGAAAAGCTTTGGTATATCTTTATACTAACGTTATGTATAAGATAGCTTACATTTAATATCTTATACAATTATTAACATTACTATGTCTCTTTGCAATCATGTTAACTTACATGCATCCCAGTGAGAAATGATTCGTCGATCGACGTCGAAATGATGTCGAATCGACGTCAATTCGACGGTGTCGATGTCGATTCGACGTCGTTTCGACGTCGATCGACGAATCATTTCTCACTGGGATGTGTCTAGATACTTCCAAATTTCCAATAAGAATCTTAGAACGCGAATCTTTCGGCCTTCAAAAGAGTGGCGAGCATAATTGGAATTTCTTTACTACATTTCTTATTTTCTTAATCATTATTTAATCATACAAGATATAAAATATCTGTTGTTATTGTAATTATTCAAACATAATCATTTAAAATATAGAAAAACCTATCCAACTTTGAGCATTGCTACGGATGATACGGAGGATTCGATCGATACAGATATGAGAACATCTACAGGAAAAGAGAACGTTCAAGAAACCGCAGCTTCTTTATGTACGGATATGCCCACAAAGACAGAAGTGACAAGAGCTCTTAACGAGTAATTATTCCCTATACATTTATTACACAGTACATGCAAATGAATCTTGTGCATTAAGTATTGGTCATTCTATGCAATAAAAGTACAATCTATATGTATTATAGTCAATACGTTATGAAAAAAATTAATGTATTCCTTAAAATTCGATTTACTAATCAAGTCGCAAACATTTCTATATTTATAAATAGAAATAGTTTGACAATAAGTGTTATTTTCATGTACCAAGCGATAAATAAATCAGCTACATAAGTATCATATATAAGTATTACTATTAAGACTTTGATTAATTATATTAACCATTAAATTTAATATTTTTGGCTGAATAATCGAGTGACTTTAAATTCTAATTATTCTTTAACAATTTACATTTCTTGCCCATCCCGTGTTACAACACAGACCAACAGCAAGCACTTCGAAAGCAACTTGAGGATTACCTTCGCCGCTTTATAGGTGGGACTGATATTCCAGAATCATCTGAAAACAATGCTGATCTTCTCAGTGCATTAAACATCTAGATATTAATTATTTGACTGGACTTCCTCAACCTTGCCATTTCCACAAATATAAGTTTTCCTGCAAAAAGTAATTCATGTCATGTTGTACAAAACTCATTCATCAAATAATTATTGCATTCACAATTTGTAAACTAAAACATTATAAACTATTTTAATTTTTTCTAATTTTACAAACCTATTTTATGCGATTCATGTAACTCATGTACATTAAGTATGATATAATATTTCAGTTTCTATAAACGTGTTCGAAAATTTTGTTTCAATGACTGTATTAAATTAGATATTACGTTTATTGTATATAGGTGACAAGTGATATACGATGAGTAACCAAATTAGACATTCCTAATGTAAATAGAGTAAATACGTTTTGCACTCTTCAAAGAAAATAATAATTAAATATAGGTACATGTAAAAAAGTTCATCATTTGATATAAGATATAAAATATATAATCTAAAGCACAAAGTATTCAATAAGGTGTATTAAAATATTGATTCCGTATTGAGTTTGATGATTTTATCTTTAAATCATTAATTCACATTTAAACTTTGATTATCGTATGTTACACATCATCACACAATTGACATATTTTTACATTATTTAACCGTTTAAGTCATATTATCTGTATAAGTAAGTCATTTTTGCCGCCTCTAAGATGAAAAAAATATAAGAAAATACTATTTTATTATAACTTCACATTTTCTGGTTATAAATGAAATGATGCCTCTCTTTTAACTTTAAATTAAATTTTTATCCGATAAAAAACAGTAAGGCCCTCCACCACTCCCGCCGAATTCTTATCGGCGGTCCTCTTTTGTTTGCGCCAAAATTGTGTTTTTACATTTTTATAGCTTAATTAATTTTATTCACAACTTATTTTTGTGATTAATTGAAATACGTACAAAAATACAGAAAGAGAGATAAAGTTACATATAAGTGAAACTAAAAACATGATATACAATAAAAATATGTACAATTTTTCATTATGACAAAAAATTACATATGAACATGTTACATGTGTTTACAATAGTACGTACCTAACTCTTACAATGTAAAACATTAATAGAAAATGTTACACATTACACACAACGTGTTACATATGTGGCTGTGCTTATAATTGTACAACATTTTTTATTAATGTGCAAACGAAAAATCAAACTGTAAAGGCAAATTTATCGATCAATTGCAAACGAAACTATTGATTAAAAGAGTATGTGAATCAAATTAAACTCAAATTTTATTCGATAGAAACAAATTAACCTATATAGAGGCCCTCCACCACCCCCGCCGCGTTTAATCGACGGTCCTCTTTTCTTTACAGTTTGATTTCTTACATTTTTATTATTTATTTCATTCTTCTTATAACTTACTTTACAATACACATACAATACTATAAAAGAAATAATGACATTATAAATTTAAAAATAAAATATCTGTACAATACTAGTTACAGTTACTCGAAAAGTAACGAATCGTTACTTTGCAGTTACTCCCTTGCAATAGAAATAAAAATATCGAATCTGCATCTGAATTGTAAAGCGGCAATAAAGGCGTTTATGCGCAAATGCAAGCCCTAATGCGATCTGTGGAGGTTGAAAAAATATATAAAGTAACTATTAATGTAACTATTAAATTAGTTACTAGTTATCGAAAAAATGTAACTGAGTTAAGTTACAGTTACAGATGTAGAGAAAGTAACGAAGTTAAGTTAGAGTTACCAAAAAGAAGTAACTGTAACTGTAACTTCGTTACAAGTAACGAGTTACCTACTTCCCAACCCTGGGTATATGTACAATAACATGAAATTATTTTTACGTACTTATTGTATTAAAGTTACTATTACTTCGTTAATTTATGTTATTTAATACTTTAAACTCTCGAACTATGTTCCCCTATCCCTGACTATCCGAATCCCTACCTACCCGTATTCCGATCTATATTATAGACCTTATTATAGACTTATCCAATTTCTACCTACCCGTGTTTCAACATAATGAACCTACAAATCTTTAATTAACCGCGACGCGATTTTCTAGGGATTTGACTTGGAGTTTAACGCGCCCGCGGGATTTAATAGAAGTTTCACTCTCGCACATATGCGAGAATGTATGTATATAGAAGCATAACCCACCCGAATTGTGACAAATCAAAAGAAATCAAAGTATACTTCGTACAGATCAGAGTGGCCAATATTGACCACATATATACCTCGTCGTATTTAGTCCTTCGGTGGGCCAGATTGGACCTACCTTTCGTTGCTCCCGGCCATACAATCTGATCATTTTGACCAGAGATCAGGAAGGAAGAAAACTTCTTCCATAGTCGGTTATTGTCACCGACAAATATTTCGTACGGTTCGAATATACGAGTGTCGATCGTATCGCAAAATGCACGACCACGAGAAGTTAATTAAAAGAAAACTATTAATTCAAAAAACTTTACAGTATGTACAAATCAAATTTATTTTTACTTCCGTTATTTATTTAAACATATTGACCATCTCTTCGTAACTTAATTTTTGAATTCGAAATTCAAGTAGTTATAGAAAAAAAAATACTTCGCGTTAGAGTGATTTTAATCATATTCCTGATAAATTAAAATTTATAATATGGATAAAATTAAATAATTAATTGAAAATTTTTCCTGAAAAACCGATCGCGAAAACCGACCGCGAAAACCGACCGTGAAAATACAAAGATGCGTGTGACTATAATGCATGTATTCATACGAGACGCATCTTGAAAGTATCGCGAGACATGCAGAATAAATGACGTAAGATCCAAAAAAGGCAACTTGCCGCACGAGTGATACCGATATATTATAATTGAATATTAGAGTTAATCGATAATTTCAAATAAAGTATAATGAAAATGATTTTAAATTTAAGAATTCTCAACAAAATATATTGGAATCTCACGTCATATTATTTTAATTTATACATATATCAATTCTTTAATTAAAAATGGATAGGCTACGAGAGATAATTGACCGAATGCATCGATAATAGGTATTCGTCATATTTCGCATAATTTCTATAATGTAGTTCACCGATTTTCAACATGAACAATGAGCTCAACATACTCTGATTTGTAGAGCTCCATGAAATCACTTCTCTTCGATAAATTAAATATATTAAATAAAACGTGAAGTTCGTTGTAGCCTATCCATTTTGACGTAACGGAACTACAAAATGTACAATCTACAATCTACGATCAAAAAATATAGATTCCGTTACTTTAATAAACAATTTTGGACTCACCGACATGATGTGCAGCGGCGGAGTTGTATCTTCCGTTGATTCTGCAATGGCGCCCGATGCCTCCTCCTCCACTCGGGTGTCCTCCTCTCCGGTGTCGTTGTCTCAGCTGTCCTCCGAGACACTCGCGAATTTACACTTGCGTTTGTAAAGTCACTTGTCACTGGCACTGTCATTGTATCCAGATGCCACTTTTTCGGTTTTCACTGTGTCCGATTGTCACTGAGTTCGATTGCGCACTACAAACCGTTTAATTACATCGTCTCACTGATACCCGCATAAATCACTGATTACAAATCGCGGGAACGCAGCGATCGCACGATGATATCAATCAGATTATTCGCAGAGAACGATCACGCGGTTTCTTCCCGCACTTGTCGCGAACGCGTATCAAGAAAGAATAATACGATATGCGAAGCGGCGCGGGCACAACCGATCAATTCGACTGCCGCCGCATGAATGATCCTGTGTACGGCACCGTAAACACCTCGGCCGAAAACCGAACGCGGATTTCAAGAAATGACGTAGCGCCGACACACTCGCGAATTTATACTTCCGTTTGTAAAGTGAATTGTCACTGTCACTGTATCCAAATGCCTGCACTTTACTCGCGAATTTGCGTTTGTAAAGTCACTTGTTACTGTCACTGTTTCCAAATGCCACTTCTTCGGTTTTCACTGTGTCCGATTGTCGCCGAGTCCGATTGTCACTACGAATTGTTCGATTACGTCGTCGCACTGATATCCGCACAAATCACCGACACAAATCACGGGAATTCAACGATCGCACGATGATATCGATCATTGCCCTTATGAAAAAATACACTCAATCATACGTTGACGGTCCGAAATAACCATCAAATTGAGTGTAAACCTTCATAATCGAGTGTTTCATGAAGGTTTACACTCAATTTGATGGTTATTTCGGACCGTCAACGTGTGATTGAGTGTATTTTTTCATAAGGGTGATTATTCACAGAGAGCGATCGCGGTTTCTTCCCGCGGTTTCTTGTCGCGAACGCGTATCAAGAATAATACGATATGCGAAGCGGCGCGGGCGTAACCGATCGGTTCGACTGTCGCCGCGTGAATGACCCTGCGTACGGTAACGTAAACACCTAGGCGGAGCTCCGCCGAAAACCGAGCGCGGATTCCAAGAAATGACGTAGCGCCGTAAACACCTCGGTCGAAAACAATCTATTGTATCAAATTACTCGGCGCGGCGGATGTTCCGCGTGTTTTTGTGTCGCTCCTCGTAACGCGATTTTTTCCTACGAGAATCCCGATCGTCTTCTACGCACGTGATCGTCTCGTTCGAAAGTTATTAACACTTCATCAATCACGTTTAAGTAATTGCCGCGATCCGTAATCATATCGTTAATTTCTACGGTGATTTGTCGCGACGACGACGCGACACGACGAACCGCCGCGTGCGGTTGCGATTCATTTAAAATGCGACTTCTACTTCAAACTATGCGTGATGTTCGTTGCGACAAATCACCGTGGAAATTAACGATATGATTTGACATCCATTTTTTATTTTAACATTCACTTTTAGTTTAATATCAATGATTACTCCCGTTACGAAAATAACACTCGTGTTAGAGCCGTGGCACACAAATGGCCTTAAGCGATAAGACGTAAGCAGTAAACGAATTGACCAATCATAGTCGAGAATTATGGCAGCCATATTATATGTATATTCTTGACTATGATTGGTCAATTCGTTTACTGCTTACGTCTTATTGCTTAAGGCCATTTGTGTGCCCCGGCCCTTACGTGTTAAGCCTCGTCTACATAGAAGTCGTAAAGTCGTAGTCGTAAGAATAGTCGACTATGATTGGTCAATTCTTATGTGTCTGACGAAATTGACCAATCGTAGTCGACTATTCTTACGACTACGACTCTGCGACCCTGGTCCACATTAAGTAAGCTGTAAGCCTTAAGCCGTAAGAAATTAACCAATCACAGATGAGAGTGAGGGGAATAAATGTCTGTGATTGGTTAATTTTTTACGGCTTAAGATTTACAGCTCACTTAAGCCTTGTGTCCACGATCCAAGAACTTGGTTCAAGTTCTAGTTTCGAGAAATGTGTAGCCAATCAATCTGCAGCTATTCCATAAAAGCTGCAAGGTGATTGGCTACGCATTTCTCGGAACTAGAACTTGGACACAGTTCTTGGATCGTGGACACAAGGCTTTAAACTACTTTAAAGCAAGATTGTGGACCAGGGGTTACAGACATTTCATGCATGCAGCACGGAACACAACCAAAATTGGGCACTGCATTACCCGCATCAAGTGGAGGCTTTATCGGCAGTGCTGGAAAATGGGTGTAGCGGGATAGTTTCAAAAATGAAAATGGGCGTAAGGCGCTGGTATCAGTCGAGCGAAAACGGCGTCGAGTGAAACGCCGGCGTGGCCGCTCTCAGATTTCTCTCTGTATTTACTACGTCTATGGTTTACATCGCTGCCCCCCCCCCCAGCTGTCCCGGACCAATGAGAAGCTACCACGATTTAAGCTTCGCAGGCGTACTCAGATGATCGTGGAACGTCTGCTAGGATGGCTGGGTTCAAATTAAATTGGGTGTTATTCATAAATTTAACAGTATGCGTTGTATTATCGATTGCCGGGTAAGTGTGGACAGTATTTCTTTTCGCAACACGTTTTGCGCGATAGTCCTTTACGAACAATTTACCATACAGCAAGGCTTATTAACCTCTCCCCTCATCTACCATTTCTCACAATCGGTCGAAAATTTTTACGTTAAACCAAAGAAATTTGTGTACCAATTTCCCCGAAATTGAACATAAAGATGTAGATATACGACGAGTTCTCTTATCCTTTTGACTTTATTGATTTTAGAAATTGGCACAATTTGTTTAATACGTCGTTATAGCTTGATAGAATCTTTTCCTCGTCAAACAATGATAGCGGGAGAGCAATAAAGTTTATTGTAATTATTACCCTTCTTTCCGTTGCAGAAGAGACTTTTATAGCATCTTAGGTTTATCGCACAGTGCTAGCACACACGCAATTAAGAAGGCTTATAGACGATTAGCGAAGGAACTGCATCCTGATAAAAATAAAGATGATCCGGATGCCTCTCAGAAGTTTCAAGACTTGGGAGCGGCGTACGAAGTACTGTCAGATCCTGAGAAGAGAGAAATGTATGACAGGTGTGGGGAGGAATGTTTAAAGAAGGATGGCATGATGAATAGTAATATGGATCCCTTTGCGAATTTCTTCGGCGACATTAATTTCCATTTCGGCGGGGAGTCGCAGCAACAGCAAACTCCCAGAGGTTCGAACGTTGTGATGGACCTGTATGTTACTTTAGAGGAATTGTATAGCGGAAATTTTATCGAGGTAAGTTTTCTCTCGCCGCAAGTAAGTACAACTACTTGCTGTAAACTCGGTGACTTCGTTGAGTTCATTTTGGTGCTGATTATTTCAGATTACGAGAAATAAGCCGGTTGTAAAGACCGCGAAGGGGACGAGGAAGTGTAACTGTAGGCAAGAATTAGTTACTCGCAATTTAGGAAACGGTAGATTCCAAATGATGCAGCAGTCGGTGTGTTCGGAATGTCCAAATGTCAAGTTGGTCAATGAGGAACGTACACTGGAGGTAGAGGTTGAGCCAGGAATGGTAGATAATCAAGAAACTAAATTTACCGCGGAAGGGGAACCACACATTGATGGGGAACCAGGAGACTTGATAATAAAGTGAGCAGATATTTTTCTATATCTATGCAATTGTAGGATTAGTTGAGACGACTGATTTTAAGCCTAAAAGTGAATTAAATAAATTTTTATCATATAAATCTTTATGTCCAAGAGAGAGAGAGGAGGGGGAACGACTTTAAACAATAGACATACATTTGACAACGTTGATTTAGTAAATATTTTGTTGAAAACTCGTGATGTTTTCTACCACAGTGTCATTGTTTATTTCTTACCAAGATTAATTCTATTATTGTATGTACTAGTGACTCAATTTTCATCAGACACTGAAATTTCGATTAAATTTTAATCGATAATTTTACACTTACTCAATTATTGAATTTTTTTTATTAAAATTGGAAACAAGAATTTATTCTATTATCTTTATTTATTTTTATATGTAAAATCACTCTTTTCTCAATTTGTGTTTCAGTCCGTTCCATTACCAGCTTAACGCGGTTACATATTTACAATATAATTTTTGATTTTAGAATACAAACTATACCTCATCCTGTTTTCGAGAGAAAAGGCGACGATTTGTATACAAATGTTACGATATCTTTGCAAGACGCCCTATTAGGGTTCACAATAGATATAAAACATTTAGATGGTCATGTAGTGAATATCCAAAGGGACAAAATTACTAAACATGGTGCACGTATTCGGAAAAAGGGCGAGGGAATGCCCAATTACGATAATAACAGCCTCCATGGCTCGTTATACGTTACTTTTGATATTGCATTCCCTGATAACGATTTTACAAACGAACAGAAAGAAGGTAAACCAAAATCTATATCAGTGCATGAAACTTTGCACAGCATATTGCTGCATGTTGTAAAAAATTCTCTTACTCATTTCAGATATTAAAAAGTTACTGCAGCAAAGTTCTGTGAATCGAATATACAATGGTATACATGGCAATTAAATATTTAAATATGTACAAAGTGAGTGCAGAGTGTGTGTTTTGGTTGGAACGTATGTCTTGATCCTGTATGTTTGTAATAAGAACGATATTCTTCCTTCTTTGCTGAAGAACCAAGGGAGTTTGGTAATCCAGCTGATTGTACTAAATACATGAGTTTTGAGTACATATGTAATTTTTTACGCAAGTTCATCAATTCATCAAATGTGCGTTTTATTTAGCTGCAAAAGAGTGGATAAATCTAGTTCTTCTTGCCAATTATTTAAATTAATTCCCGGTTCTCGTTGCCAATTATTTGTTTAATATCAGTAATAAAGCACAATTTCTTTAATAACTTAGTTGTGTTTGGCTAAATCACGTAAATAATAATAAGAAAATGTGTGGACAGATTTTGCATTTAATATTATAAGAGGAAAAAGACCACGTATAAATTAATAAATTACTAATGATCGGCCCGACATTTGTATTATTATTAATAGTGTAAAGTTGATCACATTGGCATAAACACATGAAGACATTTCTTTGCAACTGCAAAGAAGTTATGAACATGAACATCAATAAATATATAATAATATATAGTACCATAATAAGATTAAAGTATACATTTGTAGCCAATTTTTTAATTCAAATATATCTATGTATTTTAAGTGGCAATATCTTGTATATGTAATTTATTATAGCATAGCTATAATCTATTATTACAAAAAAAAGGATGTTATTATTCTTCCCCCGTTCAGAAATCCAAGAGAATAATCGGAAATAAATACATAAGCCGTAGAATATATTCTAATGTTTTATGAAACATTGTCAGAGAAAGTGGATTATTCTGTTCATTTTCCGACATGAAGTTTGCAAATAGATATAATTGCAGTAATCAAATGAGTACATGATACGATTAAGTAATTTTACTCGACCACGCTCGTGAAGAAGTGGTTTGATGAAAAACACCCATAAAAAAATAGTAAAATATTTTTTATTTGTATAGAGAATCGGCGGATTGGTCACTGAATTGATCGCCGTAATATGTTATTACATATCAAGTTCATACAGATATTAAAAGTTTATTGGTTTAGCCTTAATTAAGAACTGACAAGAGAGTCCGTATAATAAGTATAAGTCATTTTGATACAAATTATAGTGGATGAAATATATTTTCTTCTCGAGTGCAAAGCTGTTTTACTAGACGCCATGTCACGCGAGTAAACAAGTAAGTGAACGAAGGAGAAAGAAACGCGCGCAATGAGAGAGATGCAAAGCGAGCGCTTAGTCAGTTTTACATCAAGGAGATAGTCTACCTTGGAAAGTAAAAAAGTCGATTTTTAAATACAATTTTAAAGTTTAATGTTCTCAAAATGTACTCCTGCAGTTTTAAGCCGAAATTCGAAAAGTTTGTGAAATTACAATGCGCGGATATAATTTTATAGTTTACTTACAAGTTTTATTATCACGAAGCACTCTGCGAGGTTTATTTACTGAAATCATAGATTTAATTGCTAGTGATAAAAGTATAATTTTTCACCACACATTGCTATAACTTGCTTTCTTTGATAATGAAATGTAATAAAGTGTAAAGAATAATTTTGGTCACTTATGAAATTCTTTCATCTAGTTTCTGTTTTTGAAAGAAACTAGATGAAACTTTATTGAAAATGGCCACATGTACTTAAAAAGAGCATTTATAGATATTGTATGTATTAAATTTTTTAATTTTTTAATTTGAGAAATTAATTATTTGTTATTTTACCGAAATGAACATCCGAGAAGGGCTTGAATAAACATTTGCTTTCTCTTTTTGTGCGTGAGATAAATCTCGAACTATCGCAATATTATTCTATTTGCAATATTATTTGCACAATTAGCATTGCGCAAAATCACTCTAAAATATCTATTTTTGGGATCACACATTGAAGTCGCAGCTTTCTCGTATTAAAAACTTTTTCCTTAACTTTGAAGTGCCGCCATTTTGAAAAATGTCATTTTTCTCAACAATTCCGGTTTATTCCATGGACAATTGAGATTAAAGAAACAAAAATTGAAATATTTGAATTTATGTTAAATGATTGCGATAACTTATTGTTTTCGCCAGGAAGACAGGATATATTTTTGTAATACGTTAACGTTGTATAACAACAAAAACAATTATTTTCGTAGCAAAGAAATATCGGTAAATTTGTATGTAAAAGTTTGGATGTATATAGCTTTTTCTTTTAAAATATCTTGAGAATCTCGAGCCCGCAAGATAGACTGCTCCTTAATGCTCGTAAATACCTTAATTATTGACTGATTAAATTATTCGATAATGCTATATGGAAGAATATATGCATAAATAAATATTAAGTTATGCAATTGCGTTCACATATACGATAAAGGCTCCATAAACACGATATTCTCGAGGATACAAACTCGCGCGATGCTCGATGTCACTCATCAAGCCATTTTATTTGACTGTACATATAAAAACGTTGCGTTAACATCCGGAAATAAGATGGAAGCAGCAACATTCTACTCGAAATGTAGCTCTCGAATATGTAACTTTTCAAATTGTACAGGAGAGATCATTATGAACTCGAAAAGAATTCACCTTTTAAAATCATTTATGAATTATTGTGATGTGTGCGAAATTATAACTCCGAAAGAATTCCTTTCCGGTGCTAATTCTTACGGAGTACGAAAAGAATTATCTTCATATTCGAAAAAGGGCTCAGAATTTTTAACATAAGGGCGAATTCCTTTTCAACTCTTGAAAATGTTTTGACAAGTAGAAGAAATGAGATAAAGAAATAATTTATTTCAGGAATTCACAAAGAATCCTTGATAATTCCTTTTGGATATCCTGTGCTATCTGGGTTGTCGAAACGGTTCAGCATCGTGACGATTCTTCCGAATCCAAATCTAATTGAACCGAATCCTATGTCCGGGGAATCTCCGTGAAAAAGAAACGCGTGTCTAAAGGACGTCTCGGCGGCTCGAGGGCGTCTTTTAAACGTGCACGTTGTCTGGAGAAGTTGCTCCAAGGGCTGGAGATTGAAATTATTAGATACAAAAGGTCGATCACTCGGTCCAATCGGATATGTCGTGCCTAAAGACAGTAACAATACAGTCGCATGTTGAACTCGTCAACGCAGGCACTCTGGGTGCCGTAGGCGTTCAGCCTGCTGACCGACCCGGCCAACTTGCGGCTATTGTCGTCCGCTTTGTAGCGTACCGTACCCTCGAAGATCGCGTCACCCGGCGTGGTCTGTATAACCACCGTGTAATCCGTCAGCATCGCGCCGTCCGTCTTATCCAGCCACACCTTCGCGTCCTTGATCCTCTTCAAGTTCAAGGTCGCGCACATTGGATACCTGCGCAACATGTCGTTGAGCTCTCTGACGAGAAACGACACGCTGTCCTGCAGGCCGGTGTCGTTCCACGAGACCGTGTTGCTGGTGTGACACATGCACCAGTGATTCGCGATGTGCGCCATGTCGCAGGTGCGAATGTCCGGCACCGGCAGGAACCAACTGATGCCACGCGGAATAGAAGACGCGGCCTGGACTTTGATGCGCCTCTTGAGGAACGACTCGCGCAGACGGTGCGGGTTCAGCAGATCCGTCAGCGTCTCGTGTAGGTCGAAGGGTGTCGCGAGGCTGTGACTGTTCCTTCGCAAGTTGCCCCAGGCCAGCGGGAACTTCTCGCGCCACCATCTCGGCAGCACGATGAAGACGAAGGGTAGACTGTCCTCGATCTTTCCCTGGTACGTTTGTCGGAAGTCGCCCCACCTCATACCGTGATCGCTCATCACGATCAAGGCGGTGCGATCCAGCAGACCTTCCCGCGACGCGTACTCGACGAACTCGTGATAGGAGTCGTCGCCCAGCTGAGGATACGTGAAGTAATCGTGGGTAAGACTCGCTTGCCAGATGAAGGCGAAGTAGAGCTCCGAGGAGAACTCGATCGCCGTCTTGCGAGTGTAATCCAGCATGCAGTCGAAGGTCTTCCTGGTGCCGATGCAGAGATTGGCGTTCAGCTTGTGGGTGTTGCCGATGTCGGTCTCGGCAGCGACGCAATACGGCCTCAAATAGTAATCTGTCGGTTGCTCGCGGAATCCCGGTTTCAGGTAATTGAACGTGGTCATGGTGTAGGCGTCCTCGCCGAACACCGTGCGATAGCCAGCGGCACTGAAATCCTTCCACAAGAGCGGGCATTCGTCGAAAGTTTTGTTAGACAACTGCCAGCACAGATCCCGGAACTCGTCCTGATTCAGGCCGCTCAGCACCGGGACGAGGTTCGGGTATGTGTTATCGGCAACCTTGGTGTAGCCCAACATCTCCACGGCACCGAGGGACTGAAGCGACCTTACGGTCTTCGGCATCATTCTGTGAAAGTTCATCCTGGAAACCGAGTCGAGCCCGATAACGAGAACACTGAGGCGATCGTCGACGAGCGTATCCATTCGCAGCGCCTGCCTGCATCTTTCCTCTACCAAGGGCTTACGCGGTAGGAAAGCGTAGTAATCCTTGTACACCATCTCGTTATTCTGGTAACACTCGACCTTTACGAATTCGGCATTCACAGCGCAGGAATCTTGGAAAGGATAGCACTGTGTGTCATACCTGCAAAATTTTATCATCATTGAAAGTTATATTATCTATGGAACATATACATTGCGCATATACATGTAATTTAAATGTATAATATATAATATACTCTCTACATCTTTTAGAGTGAGATTTCACTCGAAGAAATAATGAAAATACTGTCGGTCCGACAGTATTACATTATTTTTATATATGTATATAATTTTAATGTATATATAAATTGTTGCTAACGTATTATATATACTAACGTAACAGCATTGTCATTGTCTTTTGTTCGCCAAAATGGTCGCCAGCAGCAACTTATGCCGCCCGGACTGTTGTAGAATTCGTTCCACGCAAGTGGGTTAACGAATAATGCGGTATTGTTCGATTCAATCAATGGCGGAGAGTTTCCATACTCGCATTCGAACACATCTTTTGTTATGAAATGTTGAACCGCAGGATCGAAAGGATCCATCGCTGGTAACCGACATCCCTTGTTGCGAACTAGAAAACCACCGTTGCCTATTGGCATGTATACGTTTGGCGTTGTTGGTGCATATTCCTCTGTAAAATTGCAAATTAATAATTAAAATAGGCGCGAATATATACGAGAATGATTTGAATCTAAATAAGATTGTTGCTGCTACAGTTTGTCAAGAAAGATTTGAACAATATAAAATTACATTATTTTTAAATGTTTGATTTTTTAAAATTAATTTATCAATTATCCATAGCATTGAATATTTTAGTAACTAAATTTTAAATAAAAATTTTACCACAATAATAGCGATTTGAAATTAAATAAAAGAATTCGGATGATTTTAATGAAATATAAAAGTTTATTGTTCAGTTTTATTTTTAAAGTTTGGTTTTTATATTTATTTTCAATCTTCTTTAATTAAGAAATTATTGATATTCAATATTTATAAGAAAATTCATTTATCTTTAAATTTATATAAAAAATATACTTTAGAATATTTTATTTTTGTTTAAGTATCAACACAATATTATATTAATACAAATATTTTATAATAATTATAAACGTATCATTGTCAGTTTTATACTGGTTCTAAAAAGTTTACAACAATATCGTAACTATCTATGCGTAAATCATGTCATATATGTGATTTTTGTATGCTAGATTTTCCATTTTTATGACTGCCACAGAGAATTTTATGCCACTTACATATGTAGAACCTAGATAGCATTTTACTTCTCAGGTTTGTTTCACAATTCTAAAATATTATTTAACAGTTGCTAAAACAGTCTTAATAAAAGGACAGCGTAATAAAATTTGATTCTCACGTTTTGTTTATTGATAAAAACCAAGTGAACAGTTAATGAACCAGATTTTTAGACATTTAGAAAAATACAGAATTAAAAAAAATGTTAAAATTTTGTCAGATTTTATGTTGCATACTTGTACGTTGATATTTTTGATCACGACACAAAGTCCTGTCGTGTTGTTTATATTTAAATTATTCTTGCATGAAAAAATTAAATAAATTATTTGTAATGATCGAACATATACTTACGCGTTATCATATCTTGGGCAGTCGGTTTGGCCATTGCTCCGAATCGGATGATCCGAAACTGACCGGTATTGTAGCTGTTGATAATGAGAAGCGACGTTAACAGGAAAACTAATAGCACGATTAGCCATCTTCGTAGTCGCAGACCACCCTTTTGTATTTTAGTTTTGATTAATGCCGTGGTAGATTCACACTCATCGTCAACAGCTCTTTTGCCGCCGCGAAACAGTGCCTGTCAAAGAAAAGTTTTTTTATACGTTGAAGATCATTTGACGCTACTTGACATATATACCTACATAATAATATGTATCAATATATTAAATTAATAATAGGATGGGACGTAAGTCCTTTGTACAAGACACTTAAGTTCCTAAAAGGAGTATATGCGGACAACAATACTAAATAATAATGAAATATTAAACTAATAAATGATATATTGAGATGAAATTAAATCCGTTTCTAAGCTTCTTATAAGAAGACCGATTTCCTTCAGTATTTTTTCGAGTGACTGAAATTTACATTCAAAATCAAGAAGAGCTCCCCTGGTCTTGTAAATTATATTGAAAGTAACCCGATTAATTGTACGAGTAAAAGTATCACGAAATTAGACATTGTAATTATACTTTGCTTTAAACAAGCACCACGATTGCAATTTTGCAAGTATAAAAATATCGTTAAAAATACTTCTCGCTTTGTATTTAATTATTGAATTGTCACACAACAAATAAAACTAAAACGGATTATGTTTACTGTAATCTGTAATTATCATGATAAACATGGCAATAACAAGAAGGTGAATTTTACTTGAATTATAATTATATTTAACTGAAACGTAAAAAGAACGTTTATTTAGTATCACAATAAATTTTGTTTTCAATCGTATTTTATGGAAAAATCAATATATTCGATTGTTTTGACCTACACTGTTTAAAAAAAAGTGTCTCTAAAAATATATTATTCTATTAGATCGACATACATAAAGAAGAGTACTGCTGAGATCCAATAACTGCTCAAGCGATGAAAGAAAATAATTGCGTACAGCGTGTACGCGTGTTAGAAGAATCGGCATGCTTTTCAGGGGGGGAAACAGAAACAAAAGGTTCATTTTACCTCCTCGGGAGAGTGGTGTTCACGCATAACAGAGCGGTTGTATGCATCAAGCACTTTCGTATGTGTAACGTAGAATTGCACGGTCAGTACGTACATTATGTCCAGCGCGTTTGTCTCTACGGTAGCGATAACAGGACACCGATATCACTTTCGGTTTAGACATCTGTCTCGCTAATTGGCCTAAATTGGAACTCGCGGATTAAAATTTGGGCTCCGTTTATGTGCAATACAAAAGAAATCTATTATTGAGTATACCGCTACATTTATCCGTTTGCCATTATTGTGTCGAAATTTTCTCACGAAGAACGGCAGCTTAGGAGATAGAATTAAATTGAGCAGTCTTGGTCCTTCTATTTTCCATCACTCTTTGCAAAGGTCAAGAGTTTCTTATTTCCTTATGTATATCGTTCTCATATCGTTCCGTAGACACGATTACTCATTGCGAAGCTCATGAATATTGTAATTCCGCATGAAAAAAGCGCATAAACAAATTACATCGAACGTAGCGCAGTATTTTAGAAGGAGATTAGCCCGTAGTGTAGCACGCACGCCATAACTCAAACGTGTCTATTCTGCATCGCAAGCAGAACGCTCTTCTCCCAATGATTGTCTATCTAAGTGAGCTGAGGAGTGGCAAAAGGTGTCTCTCTTTTCGTTGTTTCTCTTCTTCTCTTAACGGTCATTAGACTCACGTTTCTTCGACGAAGTCGCGATATGTTCGTGTGGTCCATGAATTTCGTAATGACGATTACGAGAGATTACGAGAGATTATGAAATTATGGGCGCAATTAATTTCACTATGCGACCTAGCCCCCTCGTTGACGTTTCGCGTTTAATCTAGCGGCCGTTGCGCGGACCTGGAAGACTTCTGGAACGTTGACTGCGGTACGCCGCTGCCATTCTGTCGGCATATATAACAATATATCGCTACACTCGTTTAAGGGGCGTTTCGGTTTAATCGCCACGACTTGTTTCTAATTCTCGATTCGGTACGTACATTTAAGCGATAACTTTTGCGCGGGCAGCGAAGCTGCTCTTCCGAGATGGTCGGCACGTGTTTATTGTGCGAATTAATTTACTCTTGCTCGACATGCTGTTTTCGAACGAGCTTGTTCGGTTTTAGGTCCCATCTGTTTGCTGATCGCCAGCCTGCGAACCATCTCTTCTAGACATGTTGAATCTGCATATCGTCATATCTTTTTCGTCATATCATCGTATCCTTTCCGATATGTACAATAAAAAAAACTGACTGGTCACAGATAATATGAATCAGGCCTGTTCGAGTTCATTAAGCATCTGGAACGGAGCCCCCTACTTTTATCCGATAACTACTTGTGCCACCGTAACTCTTTCCAGTGATAACAACTGCGGCGCATCCACGCGATAATCTATAATGGGTGGAGCCTCGGCACTATCTCTTCTGTCTCTTCTCCGTCCCACTGAGCGTTTTGCTCATTTTTTTCTTCCTAGATCTATTTGGTTGTGTGTTATGCTTAATGACGTACACATCCCCAGAGAAGGTGCATCCATCGATTGTATTCCTGAAACGTTATCGGCAGTTAATTTACGTTCCCAAATAACAGGTGTGATAAAGACTTCATTAAAAAAATTCTTCCTGAATTATTTATTAGAGTAATCTATTCGAAATCAATGCAAAAGAATTCCTTCTCGGTAGTTCAAAAAGGATTACATAAAAGTATACTTTTTACTTCTTACGGAAGTAAATTGAAATTCTTCTACAAACTATTCCTTTTGTATCCAAAAAGGAACTCAACTTTGGTGACATAAAAGCGAATTCTTTTCGAACTCTTAAGAATGCTTTTTTAGAATGAAAATGCGATGAGAAAAGAATTTATTCCACAATTCGGGAATTAAAAAAAACTCTTTTCGGATTCTCTGCTATCTGGGTTAATGTTCCTTTGCAGAGACATTATTTCTTATTACCGTGTAATTCCTTTAATAAAGTATTGCCAGATACGTCGAATAATTTTTCCCATTACGGTTTTACATTACTTCTTCTTCTGCGAGAAATGTCAAAGTCATTAATATTTCTGAATATAAATGCTTTGTAAAGTAATTAAAAAATTTTATTTACGAATTTTTTAATTATAACTTGTCAGACTCGAGTTACCTTTTTAATAAAAATCACAATATGAACAAATGATAAAAGCTGATATTTTTTATTGTTAAAAATAATGGAACAAATTTTAATTAATTTCTTATTTTTCAATTTCTAATTCGGTTATTTTTATTTTAAAATTCAAATAAAATTAAACACTTAAAATAAAACAAAAAATCTTCTAAAAGTAACTTTTTCTGTGAGAACACTCACATTAATCAATTTTAATAACAACAAATACATTTTTGTTCAGGCAAAAATAATCGATAAGAATATTCGCTAATATTAAAAATAAAATTTTACTTGTTATTTTTAAATATTTTATCTAAAAATCTAATTGTAAGATGAATACTTCATTCCTCGAAAAGAGAATCTCTTGTTTCTTTTACTTATAATAATAATTCTTAAATTTTAAGATAAATATAGAAGAACAGAAAATAGTAATTATCTATGTAGCTTATAAATCACCTAGTTATATATTATGTAAATATCTTTTTTTTATTTTTCCCACTTCGATTTGAAAATAATCTTATAACAACGAAAATTTTAGTTAGAGTAACTGCGTTTGTTAATTATTAGAGTTATATGAATAAGTGACATCGAGATTGTCAACAGGCGGAATCTAAAGTAAGATATACGTACATTCGGTCGAATCTTGCGTCCTTGCGCATGTGAGCTTGAAGAGAAGAAACTCTCAAACAGCTGTTTTTATATATCCACTATGATTTCGCAGATATATAACGCGCGCAGTGCTCGAACGTGATGCATATTCAGAAATACTTCTTCTCAGTCAACAACACCCACAATCTCTAAAGAATAGAATCTCTAAAAGCTCCTTTTAGCGCAATTTCAAATCGCAACGACGAGGCGCGCACCGTCGTTACGATCTAATATCTTGTTTCTCTAAATAATGTCGTCGATAATATCCTCCTCCGCAGCACTTATCCTATACAGAATCCGCACTCTCGGAGAGACGCGAATATACAGAGGCAAACGTTAGCAGAATCCTCGGGGGAATGTATAGATGTTCGGCTACCGATCCGGCTTCTCCCTCGTCATCTTCGCGCCGATGTCCGGCCTGTCATCGGAGGACGCGGGGGTGAAAGCGCACACGTTCAACGGCCGATCCTCGGGGATGCTTCGGCAGGCGTTGCCGCGCCCCGGCGTGCTGGGATTCAACCGAGAGTGCGTGCGGACGCCGCGGCTGGCCGAGACTGGGGCGAGAAGTGACGAGACGTGGAGGAGGACCAGGGTTCCTGGTCGATAGTGGAGCACGCGCGTTTCTTCGGCGCGCGGCGACGAGAGACCAGTGCACAATGCACAGAGTTTGCCAGAATCAGACCAAAACGAGACAAAATTCTATTTCGTCGCTGAGATGACGGAGCGTGAAGGGCGTATAAATTGTACATTTCGGGCAAGGCAGAGTTTCAGATTACGGGACACGTCATTTTTACACGTTTTTAAGCGACGTATCATTTTTGGTTTTGGACGTTAATCTGGTAATTTTTGGCAATGCGAGCTTCCGTGTTGATTTTATATTAATCGCACATAAATTCGATAAAACGGCATTTGAACATTTTCTCACTCTCAAATTTTTCATATATTTATGAAACTGTTAAAAAAAAGAGGAAACAGATATGTTTGATACGTTGAGTTGCTAAAATATTTTTCCAATAATTTAAGGTTGAAAACAAAGTTGAAACGGATCCGAAAGTTTTAGATAATGTAAAGTTCGTAGTAATGAATAGTTCGAGTTAGTCGATTATTAAATTCTGGGAACATGTGTGCCGAGAATTAAATCACGTCTGGCTATCTACTTTTCTGTTTCTATTGATACCGATTTATCGCTGTTGTTTATTAATAGATATTAATATTTGTTTCATGCAGAGTAGTCCACGAGATTCAATCGAAGAAATGATTGATGTGACACAAATGTGGAATTTTAAATAATTGATTAATAAATTTTAAGATTCAACAATTTATACAAAATCAATTAACGTATAAAATTATGAATTACATATAATTACATAGGAAATATCAATTATATTAGGGCAATTCATATTTCTTTGTGTGCACATAAGACATTTACATTTATTATATAAGATATTCACTTTGTATATTTTTTCATATAAATTTCTCCATTGCATTCTATTGTCAAAAGCAAAATGAAAAATTAGTCATGCGTGTAACTGATCGCATTAGGATGTACATACATATATGTATATCTTGACCTTGCATACTCGTATACGCCACTACGAAACTTCGTATCGCACTATCGCACTCATAAAAATTATTGTTTTACTACAACCGATAAACCTATAATTACAAACGGACCAATCAATGAGCGATTAGATAACAATGATGTTAATTGCAAGCAGAGCAAGAATTTTAATGCTTCAGTTGTGTTGAGAGATACAGTCGATATGCGAAACAATTGTATACTGGAGAACTTGTTTATCTATAAAAGAATTAAAAGAACATTACTTAATAAACAATACTATTTCTTATATAAATGCGGTTACACAAATTAATTTTCTTATAAATATATAACATTTTTACTAATCCTAAAAAGAAAATTATAATTTATAAATTGTAACGCCGAATATACGTGAATTGTTCATAATACGATTAACAATACGATATTACTAGTAAAGTTTAAAAATATAATAAATAACAGTAGCTTGTATAATAAAATCAAAAAATAAGAGAAGAGGCTCAGAGCCAGAACAAGGTTGTAATGTTCAATAAAATAAATACGCTCGCAAGTTACATATATACGGGGATTACGCAGTTAATGTAAAATTATAATAAGTTAAAAGATGCACTACCGACTCTCAACTTATTATAATTATAATTTCACATTAATGACTGCGTAATCCCCCCGTATATATGTAACTTGCGAGCGTATTCATTTCTTCTTTATACTGAGGTTGGCCCAATAAGGACCGAAACGTATACAGGGTGGGGCAAGAACTTTGATCACCTGAAATATCTCCGCTATTTTTTTGAGATATCAAAATATTTTAATTACAAAAGTTGTACGGCATGAAGAGCGCTATAATATGCCAACGACAATTTTCTTTTGGGTGGAGGCGCTTCGAAGAATTCAAGGTCATCTCAACTTTTTTAAATGGCATGCTATACTTTTTATCCTTGATCCAATAGTGGACGTTGAGACAATTTCTATGTCCTATATTACAAGGTCATTTGGCATTAATAAAGTAGTAAAAAAATAATTATTCTTACATTATTGGAGATGCTCGAGGTGATGTCCGTTTGCATCGATGCAACCGTTGCAACCGTTGAATTCCTGAAGCACGTACACTTCTTAACACTTCCGGACTGATGGTTGCACATGCTGTAATAATTCGTTGCTTCATATTTTCTGCTGTTGTTGGAATTTCTCTGTAAACAATGTCTTTCAATGTTCCCCATAAAAGAAAAGTCGAGTGGTGTTATATCGGGCAAACGAGCTGGCCATGAAATTGGTCCACCATAATTCTGTAAACTTGCATAAATGCATTATTGGTCGACTGAGAATCCGCACGTACAAACAAACAGAATACTACTAGGTGTTGAGCCAGAGGCAGTTACAGGATGGATAGCTGAACGAGGATATCATGATGAAGGAACTGGACATTCTGAGGGAAAAGAACGACGTTCAAGCTGATGTAGTACCCGTACTCGTGAAACAAAAGCTGTGAGACCAAGCAGAATATCCACAAACGCGTCGTTGTTGCCTCTGTATACAATGTCGAGCAATAAACGCGTCAAATGTTGTATATTCAGGAAGCACTAAAATTAGGAGACTCTGTAATACCAGATCCTCTATCGCGATACTTAAGAGGTACTTTACTCTTGTCCCTACATTATATATGATCGTTTTTTAGCTTGTATCTTTTAAATTATAACAGATCAGTTCTGTAAATTGCTCTGGAAAGTACTTAAAAAGCATTTAATGTTATTATATTTATTTGTTTATTTATGTAAGTGCTTAGAGTTGGGGATGCTTAACATAACTCTAGCACACCCACTTTTAAATGCGAAAGTTGCTTGATGCACTAAAATAAGGAAAAATTATAGAACTAAATTATCCTAACTGGCACTTATTTTTAATTTTGGTACACGTTTTACTTTCTTGATGGCGTTAACTTGACGTATGGGAGAGAAACATTGGAGCGATGTACTACAATATTTGTACAACGTGAATTACATTATTTATTCGAACGAGAGTTACGCTCGTGGCAGATCCATTATAGACGAATAACGAAAGAACCTCGCAAGAGAACGAATGAAATAATAAAAAAAGTATAATTATTATATAATTTAATTCAGGAAGATAATCGAGAAATTTACTACAAGTGTAATAACATTTATGATATTTCTATTTCCATCATTTCTTCCTCTATCAATGTTCGTTTATCTCTTAGTTTATTATTTAATGTATACATTACTATGATTCGTTTTCTTTCGGTAATGATTCAAGGATCTTGAGAAAAAAAGATCTGCTTGCTGGTCAAACGCTCAAATAACGTAATTACATACAACTTTTTATTGTAAAACTTCATAAACTTCATATTTATAGTAACAAGATTGAAGTTTTTAACTCAACGTCTTACTACTATTACTGTCGGCATGTTTGTGGAGCATACTCTGTACAGTAGGTATAACAGTCGACAAATACATAGTACTCTCCCTGGATGGAACAGCTGGTGTCCTGCAATAAATTGTCGTTCACGAGAATGCAATTCGTTTCGTTAGGACTAGGATAAGAGGGACCGCTGAAACAAAATCAAAGAATGAATAATACAACACTAATATTTAACTTAACTGAGCAGCTGTACAATTCATAAATTTTTATTAACCCTTTATTCAAAAAAATCACTCTGTAGCGAGAGTCTTACGATCATACTGATTGCGGATATCACCGTTATAATATAATTTTTTTTGTCTGTATTTTGGCCGTAATACGACAACATAGAATCCATAGTTTACAGTTGGCCGACAGGAGCCTCCACCATGTCTCGTGTTAGCCCTAAGGGTTTATCCAGACAAACATACACAGCTGCATAAAGCATATGCATAAAAAAATTGATTGTTCTATCTCCTTATGTGTGCATTTACATATAGTCCAATTAGATTATGCATACATTTATGCGCTATGCACATTTGTCTGCATGGAAAATTTGCGGAAGTACACCTTAAGATATCAATATCGTACGTCACGCCAAATGGACAATATAATTTCCGTCGTGCGTATCTCTTCCTTTGCTACTCGCTTTTATTTCCAATATTATACAGTAATAAAGCACGACAAAGTTGTACTTTGCCTAAACGCTGCGAAATGTTGCTGCGACGCTGCTGCAATCTCGCAATATTTCTGCAAGCGGACATTTTACCGTTGCTTCAATCCAACAGCAATGTTGCAGCAACATTTTGCATCATTTAGGCAATGTTGCAATCTTGCTGCGAAATGTTGCTACAATGTTGTTGAAATCTTGCTATGCTCTATGGAGTAAAGCGTCGATAAAGGCGTTTATGCGCAAATGCAAGGCCTGATGCGATCCGTGGAGGTTCAAAATACACATAAAGTAACCATTAACGTAACTATTAAATTAGTTAACGAAACAATGTAACTGATAATGAGTCAAGTTACAGTTACCGAGGAGAGAAAGTAACGAAGTTGAGTTAGAGTTACCGCAAAAAAGTAACTGTAACTCCGTTACAAGTAACGATACATCAAACAGTCGATGTAAAAAAACTGGGCCAGAGGGAATTGAAGTGCACCGCGGATTCGAAGTTCGCGCCGCTCCAGCATTCGCCGTCACGTGGGCCACATTAGTTCGCCACTTCTGGGGGTCAAGGATAGAGGGCGCTGAAAACCTTCGGTTTTCCAGGGGCGTTTCGCCCGCGGCAGTTTGTCAAGAGGGCGGCGGGGCGCGGGGGAGGAGGGGAGAGGAACGTGGATCGGTATGGATCAATGGATCACGGTCGGGCCAAGATGGCGCGCCGCCGAGGGGGCTGAAGGTCTCGCGCTCGTTCTCGCACGGAAGGGATTTGTTCGCGTCACCCTCGCGCGATCTCTGCGCGCGCCCGCGACAGTGGCGTATTATGTCCTCGTACACGTTCTCGCAGAGGCTGTTCACGCCTACGCCGCCGGAGCGCGGCAGCTTCCCGCTGGACCATGAGGGCCGTTGCAAGAGCACCATGATCAGGTACATGCGCTGCCTGGCCGAGAATCGCAATCAGAACACGATGTGCCGCGACATCGCCAAGGAGTACCTCGGCTGCCGCATGGACCACGATCTGATGGCGCGCGAGGATTGGTCCAAGCTCGGCTTCGCCGGCGAGATCGACGGCGCCAAGGAGACGTAACGTCGATATCGTCTACGGGAACGGATATCGGAGAGGAGGGGTCGTTCTTGTCCTCGTTGTCGTTATTGTTGTTCATCTCGCTTCTTCTCGAGAGTGCCTGGCGCACTCTCTCTCTCTCTCTCTATATATATATATATATATATCTCTCCAGCTAATCGGTGCTCTTAAAACTTTCGATGTAAATAGGACACCAGACGATAGAGTTTGGTGATTCAAGTGTGTTCAAGCGAGAATACGCACTGCCAGCCAGGTGTAACAAGGACTTCCTCTATGTCAGTGTTGTTGAAAAAAAAGCCCATAATAGGTTTAAGGAGAGACCAATTGAGAGAGAAAAAGAGAGACGGATAAAGGAAAAACTGACCCGTATTAAAACATTGCGTATCTACCTTCTATTTTCATAAGGAGGAAGATTAAAAATTAAGTTATATATATATATATCGCTTGACGCTCATTGGGTCGGGCTTCTTGAGCTTTAATGTAAAGCCCGTAGCTTGTTATGCGGCTGGATTGTGTTGCAACCCAAGTGGCCTAAGAGTATAAATGTCCCGCAAGTAAAATAGAGAGTCCCGATATTTATCACGTTGAAAACTCAGAGTCTATCAGGCCTGGTACGGACCGAGGAATAGAACGGGAGGCGACGCAAGGGCGAAGGAAAATGGCGAGCTCCTCCAGAAGGAGAGTACTGGTAGGCTGCACCGGTAGCGTGGCCACGATCAAGCTGCCGCAGCTGGTGGAGATGCTGCGACAGAGCAATCTGGAGGTGAGGGTGGTCGTGACGGAGAGGGCCAAGCATTTCCTCAAGGACGCTCAGCTGCCGCCCGAGATCCAGGTCCTGTCCGACACGGTGGAGTGGGCCGCCTGGCAGGATCGTGGCGATCCGGTGCTGCACATAGACCTGGTGAAATGGGCGGACGTGTTCGTGATAGCGCCGCTGGATGCCAACACCCTGGGCAAGATCGCCAGCGGCATATGCGACAATATCGTTACCTGCGTGGCACGCGCATGGGACCCTGCGAAACCGCTGCTCTTCTGCCCGGCTATGAACACCAGGATGTGGGAGCATCCGGTTACAATGCCTCAAGTGAGACGGAAAGAGTAGCACAGTAGAGATTAAAATAAGAGAATGTCCAGAATATTCTTATTTTTCAAACCAAATAGATAAATAGCTAAAATAATTGATATACGTCTCTGTTTATGTTGCATTTATAGAAGAAGTAGTCGCATTTATATATTTACATTAAGGTTAACTTAACTTTTATTCTGCAGATGTGCGTTACAATTGTATCATTGAAAACAGGAATTTAATTAAATCAATGAAAATGTTTGAAAAAGAGATACGACATTAGTCAAACTTCGTCTTGTCTTTGATATGGTTTCTCTATTTCTCTGTTCTTTTAACAACAACAAAAATCATGGACTTTCGTGCTTTCTCAGATATCACTGCTCAAATCCTGGGGCTACAAGGAGGTGCATTGCATATCCAAGACGTTGATGTGCGGCGACGCGGGAATAGGCGCGATGGCCGAGGTGGACACGATCGTGCGAGCCACCCTGCGAGCCTTGAGCCCCTGGATGGACCAGTCGGATTTGTGTCCCTAGCAGCGGCTGAGATCGGCCTCCTCGTGCGAGCCTCGTCGACGACCCCGCGAGTATCGATGAAGCTCTGTCACGTCGAGAGCGCGATATAAGGATCTCCAAAGACGCGCTATGGTGCGATTCGAACATACGCTTAAGATACACGCCAACGTTGCTGATCTCTAATAAAAATTCGGACGAGCCTAAGACCCGGATCTTTCGGGCCGTATACGGATCATGTAATCGAGAATTTATATTTGTTAGTGAAAACGTCTATAAACTTTTCTCGAGTTACGTTGTTCATTGTTGAGAATTTCATCCTTTCGTTGCTGTTACGAGATGAGCTGTGTCACCATTAGATCATTGTTAGATAGAAACCTATGTAAGTTTACGCGGTTAAAATAGCGAAATCTGAGTTTGAACGCATCATGGTCGTCATATCCTTTGCTCAACCTGGAATAAATCAATCGTACTATGAGGAACAAACGAGATAATCGTGACTTTATCTGTCCAGTTGAAATGCGATGTGTAAAAATGCTGTAAAGAAAAGAAACAAAAAAATTCTGTTGACATATCCTAAAGTTGATCCGCTGGAATGTACAATGCTTTTGTTAAATATATGAACAATAAAATAAATAGATATATGAATATATATATAATAAAATATATGAATGATGACGAGAATGTGCAAGGTGTTCTTCCTGCTTTTCCTGACTTACGCAAGTGTCTTCCAGCGATGCAAGACGAAAAACCAGAAGTTTCCTGCGGTATATTAGGTATATTCGGTAAAATCACTTTATTTTCGTATATACACAAATAAAGCACGGACTGACAATATATAAAATATGTATAAAGCATAATAATCGACACGTTACATTAATTTTCCCTTAGGTTTGGAATAAACGGACTGTTGGAGAGATTCTCCTAATAGAATTGCAAGACGCATCACCCCAATGTGCGTTTGCTTCTCCGTAACAAAGGTGTAGGTATTCAACCAGAAGACAAAATCCTCGAGTTAAAGAAATTTATCGTTTATACCGTCTATAGGCTTGTTTTCTGTTGCTGCACTGGTGAACTAGTGCAGTAAGCTAGAGTGAGAAAAAAAATACTTGTCCTACTCTAACTTATTGCACTAGTTCACCAGTGCAGCAACAGAAAACGAGCCTTTCGTTTCAATGCTGCGCACTTCACGAACATATAGTACATTCTGCAATAAGCGCGACTTGTGGTATACTATTATATAATTATAAAACATGTTTATATATTTATATATACAGGGGTGTACGTTGGAAATATAAATACTATAAACTTCGCAGAGGCGTATCGCGATATTAAAACTGCAGTCAATTCCTCCTTCGCAAAAAAAAAATTTACTCTTTCCTCTTTCAAGTTTTGTTCTTACTTAAATTCTTGGTTACTCACACTTCAATTTATATGAAATTATGAGCTGAAGTCTATTCAAGATTAAATGCGAAATGAGATTTCGTTATTTATTTCCGCTCTTGAGGCTTCCGTTCGCATAGAAACCATCGGTGTCTTTTGCTAAGAGAAGAAATCGGCTTGAAACAAATCGGGAAGTACGCTCGCAAAGTTCATGTAAGCATCTCAGATACACCGGCGCTGTATATAAATCTGCGAGATTGATTCTGTGCTACTTCCTTGATATTACACTAACTACTTGATCGCGCGCGGTATATAAATATCACAGTTTACAAAACTGGCGACACTGCGTTTTGCCCGTGTCCTCTTTTGCTAAATTATACGGTATCAATTAATACAATATTTATATAAAATATGTGTTCTGTCGGAATCGGCTATTTCATTGTTTTGAAATTCGATTCCAACTGATAATCGCGTCGCGATTTACGGAAAGGACGATCACGGGATTTCTTGGTGGCGCGTATTGGTCCTCGGGAGGGATATATATATATATATGACTGAGGACCCCCGTCTCGACTTAAAAATTCCTGCAAAACGTATATCGAAAAAAGTTGGATGGATTTTCGGCAGTGACAGTTCGTAAAATATTATCGCGAGATTGTAAGTGAGATGCCCTCAAGGAGAATCTCGTTTCTCACTTCGCATCTTCGAGGACCCGACGTTCGTCCGTCGTGCGATATAAAAAAGTTACGTCTTAGGAATTATTTCGTATATAAATGTGGCCGTGTAAAAAGACAGTGTACAAAAATATGCCCCTGCGCAGCGCAACGGCTGCGGTCTTTCCAGGATTGATGATATGGAGCTAAAGTCACACGCTCTTCGCAAGATTAAATACAATTTTATCGCCGAGATAAAAACTGAGTAATAAAACGTATACGACGCAAGGTTTCCCCTCGTAATATCATATTTCAAAATTTTATAATTCGTCGTTGCCATTTCACATAATACATCTTTGAAGACATGGCTTCGCGACTTAGTTCGATATCATTCTTGGAGCTTCATTCGGACTGCAATCGCGACCTCTCGGAAGGCTCGGCGATTCCGTAGAATTCGATCCCGTGAATGCGAAGTGCCGCAGGCGTTCCTTTGAAACTCCAATCGATACACGAACAAGCTTCCGTCCCCTGTGCTCGCCGATCTATCGACGTCCGCGCTTTAAAAATTCGTGTGACTCTCTGGTATTCGTATTTCGCACGCGAAATTCCCGTGTGAGGTACAAAATGTGCTCCCCGTCGCACATCGTCAGCTGGAAGAACACGTGCGTTATAATCTGAAAAAAAGACGGAAAAACTTGTGACAGCGGCTGCTCTTTTATTCTCAAATAATTGATTTAATCGCACTCAAAATTTAACTCTTACTTGAACCATGCGGTATATTTCGTAGAACTAAATG